CGTAATCAACCAACCTGGTCAATGCTGTGCTTATTTTTATGTACGGATGGGAATTAATTGGCTGAAGAGTGCTCAGCTGACACTATCAGTCAATGAATGGCCAATGTGATTAGCATTGAGCTTTTGCAGCTTTTCAGAAGCCGAATGCACATCACTGGTCATTAGAGGACCTTCAGCACCCGGTGGAGACCCAGGTAAGGGGGAAAATTATTGCACTATTACTGGGGAACAGGGCGAGGGCACTTCTCATATTATAAACACTACAGCTGTCTGTGTAGAGGTTATGAGGCTTGGACTAACCCTTTTCCAAAAAAAATTTAAATAAATAACAGTTTCAAAATGAGTGTTTTTGAATACATCAATGTATAATTGTTAAATTATCACACATTGTGCATGCATACAATTAAAAGGTTCATGTGAAGTTTTATGTGTTTGACTGTTCCATTTCTTTTTCCAGATTTTACAGGATTGCCCAGACCTTCCAGAATCTGTGATGGATTTTGAGCAATTTGATGAAGTTGAAGCTATTGGGAAATCCCTTCTGGACCGATTAACAGTGCCTGTTATATATCCTGATGGGTATGTTTCTATTACTTTAAAGGGAAACTATAGTGCTAGGATGCAAAGTGCCCCGTCGCTTGCGGCTCCCCAACACACACCCCTCCCTTCCCCGAGATGTTAAACCTTTTTGTCACTTACCCGATTCTAGCTCATTTTGTGCCAACAACAGCCGGCCGGTGCGACCTAATGCACATTTGCGGCAAGCGCCGCAATAACAGGAATTTCCCACAGGAAAGGATTGCTTCAATGTTTTTGTATGGGGATTTTTCTGACACTGGATGTCCTCATGCAAAGCATGAAGGCGTCCAGCGTACTCATGTAGTGGACCAAAAGTCCTCTAAGGGTGCAGAAGTTCCTCTGTCTGGTAGACCACCACATAGAGATGGAGTTGATCCTGCAAGGTAATTATTGCAGTTTATCAATAACTGCAATTATTACAAATGCAGGGTTAAGGGGACAGATACACCTACCCATAATGTGTCTAAAGTGTCCCTTTAACAGTGCCTGTTATCTATCCTGATGGGTTTGTTACTGTTACTTGATCTCTCTGGGGGTGGCAGACACATGTAAGATACAGTTATAATGTGATATAGCTCAGTGAATTTGTCTTCAGCCACAATACTTTATTATCATATGAGCAGCCTTTATCAAGCTAAACTTTATAAAGGTGAAGGTTGTAAATTATTATGTCGTGTGTGTGTGTGTGTGTGTGTATATATATGTGTGTATATATGAGTTGCACGATAACCATATACAGTTGCAAGACAAAGTATGTGAACCCTGTGGAATGATATGGATTTCTGCACAAATTGGTCATAAAATGTGATCTGATCATCATCTAACTCACAGCAATAGACACTCACAGTCAGCTTAAACTAACAACACACAAAGAATGAAATGTTGCCATGTTTTTATTGAACACACCATGTAAACATTCACAGTGCAGGTGGAAAAAGTATGTGAGCCCTTGGATTTAATAACTGGTTGAACCTCCTTTTGGCAGCAATAACTTCAACCAAACGTTTCCTGTAGTTGCAGATCAGACGTGCACAACGGTCAGGAGTAATTCTTGACCATTCCTCTTTACAGAACTGTTCCAGTTCAGCTCAAAAACATGGCAACATTTCATTCTTTGTGTATTATTAGTTTAAGCAGACTATGTTTGTCTATTGTTGTGACTTAGGTGATGATCAGATCACATTTTATGACCAATTTGTGCAGAAATCCATATCATTCAAAAGGGTTCACATACTTTTTCTTGCAACTGTAGTCTGGGTTTCTTTCCACTGAGTGTATCTAGAACAATTTATTATCTCATAAGCAGCCTTATCAGCTTGATAAAGGCTTCCCAGTGATCCGAAACACTTCTGTTTCGGTAAATTTCCCTTTTTTAATTATTTTTTTTATTAGTCACTGTCTGTACATTGATCTGGAGGAGCAATGTAGCGTTTCTAGATTGTGTGTACCACCAGGAGAGTATTGTTTTAATTTTGAAGTGTGATTTCTCTTTCGGTTTGTGTCTGATGAATAATATCTGGACTTCGAAACCTACTTAGAAACAAGCATCAAGCTATGTACATTTCCTGTTTAAATATTTTTACATTATTTTATTGCATAGCAAAATAGCGTGAGCTCACAGAAAATCCAGAGCTCTAATCTGGATCCCGGTAAAACATAATTTTACTACAAAAAAACCAAATATGCACATTTTATGGTACTGTACATTGTTTTATTTACAAATTAAGATTTTATTTACAAATTAATACAGTTCCATATTTGCATAGTGTGATATATATATATATCTTAACATATAATACAGTTCCATATTTGCATAGTGTGATATATATATATCTTAACATATTTTGTAGTTAAAGATTCTTTACTATGTGGGTTTGTCATTACATGATTTATACATTACGTTTTCTTTTTCGCCATAGATCTGAGCAGTATTTTGGAAGCCCCAGTGACATGGCTTCTACAGCAGAACACATCAGGGAACAAATCAAGATGATTTGCCTAAAAAAACAGCATCTCCTGGAGTCCAATATGTCCTCAAGGGAGAGCTAATAGACTTTGTTTTGGCCAGTAAAAAGGCTGCAGGTTGAAGACAGCATGTCGTCGGCATAATGCAACATTCAGTATACTCCCATTAAAATTTATTTCACCAACATCGTCTCAATCTAAACATTCTCTGTGTATTGTAACATTTTCCATTATGAGCCTTACTTATATAATGTGCTGTGAATTTATAAACTCAAAGTATCTTAAACAAAAGTGTAATTGTTGCACTGAACACTTCCTTGGCCCTTAAGCATTCATACGGTAACTGCAACACCCGGCTGGTTAATGTGTTACAAGTGCCTCTGATTAGCACGCAGGCTGAAAGCTTTATATTATATGGCAGTTAATTCTTAGTTAAGCGGTTTGACAAAAGCTTTTATTGGTGCTACCAAAAAGTGAAGGATTTCTCCATAATAATAATAATGTTAACATTAAAAAAAATAATAATATGAAGAAGAGGAATGGGACAAGTGCTGACGCTGATCGGATAACGTAGTATTTTTAGGACGTGGGTAATTTACCTGTTGTTTTTAGGCTGTAGCGTACTTCAACTTTTATCTAAAGACATTTCATTTTTTTTATTGTGCCATTATTATGCAACTTGTCCATTAGAACTTTGATATATCATGGTCATGAAACGGATGTTTTCTTACTTGTATGGAACAATGTATTTAAATCTGTTTGTGCTAAATAAAATCATGTTCGTAAGATTTTATATTTTGCATATTTAAGTCCAAGAAAGGCGCTTACATTTCTAAAAAATAAATAAATTGTAGACTACTTAAAAGGAAATATAGGATTGATAAATATAGGATTTAAATATTATGCAGCAAATACAGGAAAAAAAAAAAAGTAAATACATTGATTTACTGGTGTGACATCTTTGCAAGTAATATGACTCTGATTAGTAAATAGGTAAGATAAGTATTTGTATAAACATTTGTACTGTCTCTGAACCACTGGGGGAAAAAAGTTAAATAAGAAAATTACACACATAAATATTTTTCCCATCATAGATTAGATATACTTTTTCACCTCATCCATCACTTATACATCATTTGGGAACATGTGGGAAGTGCTCCCACCAGGATTACAATATTGCATACATTTCAGACACATCTCGCTCAAACTTTTTGCTGCACCACTTTGGCTCAATAAGAAAGCAAATTAGACATACAGGGTTAATCACTAAAGTGAGAATTGTTGCAGAGTTTCTGGCTTTTTATTCTCTTGTTTAAATCATTGCTCTCACCACAGAGATCCAAGTACCAATAGATACCTGGGGCTATTCCTCTGTCAAGTGGAGTCATATTTAGTGGCCCAAGACGAGATCTACCTTCAAACTTCTACAGGTCTTAGTGGTTATGCAATAGAAGAGTCTATTGGCGCCACCCCCTCGTTTTGTACCAAACCATTTTTGAGTGGTATTAAAATAAAAGGGCTTCTCCTGGTACCCAAGACCCAGCTCTCTGTTGCATCTCTGTTAAGATGTACATAAATTTCCACATTAGCTGTCCACCTATGGACAGCCATGAAAGGCTGAGGGTTCTGAGGACAACTTTGCCAAATGCTCCCTGCTTATCATTGCTTTCCAAAGATGGCTGAACTAAAGTGGAAGTTTGCTTGTGCATTACCTGAGTTAGAGCAGAAAGTCAGAGCACAGTTCCTTTGATATGCTTTCATCAAACACAACACAATTCATTTGAAGAAATGGATATGCATATCTAGCTCCAACTCTGTTACTTAGAGAAAATGCTTATTTAATGTGTTTCCTTCATTTTTCCTTTGTTGATTAATGTAGTCTATGTTTGATACATATATGTATATATATTTTTTTTCTTTTGAACTTTTTTATTATATGACATTCTATTGAAGAAGAAACAAGCCTTTGAGTTAATGGATTATTTGCATCACTTAGAATTTTACATGATCTCTTAATATTAAAAAATAGATATACTTTAATAATTTATTATTAAGCAGGCTGGCTATGGATCTTAATACAATGTACAAGGGCCTTTCTATTTAGTCAGCAGTCCGCTAATGGATCTTTGATAGATTGTGTACTGGTCAGCAAATTTCACATAATGATTTAAAATGCCACTTCAGATTTAAAAAAAAAACAAAACTCTTATGTACAACCGACATGCTTCAGAGGAATATCAAAGGCGCGCACACACCTTAATTTAAATATGGTTATTATGAAAAGTGCATGTTTTGTACATGTGTAATGTTTCTGTTAAAAAATTAACCTTTAATACATTTATTTTTAAGAAATCTTTTTTTTTTACTATTATTATTGCATCAATACCATGGCAGATCTATTTCACAACAGACTCAAATATTCCAGTTATGAAATTTTTTTACAAGCAGGGCATTTTAGATCTTTCAGATGTCTGATAGACAGCAACTTGCCAATTTCCCAAACCCATTTTTAATTTTTAAACATCTCATGCTATACTATTAAACCATTCCATGGCAAGTGTACTTTGATAACCTTTGGTAGGTAAACTGAACGGTACCTCAACCAAAAAACAGGCTGACCGAGGTCAAATTAAGTTGTGATGTTACCTGCCTCATCCTAAGTCCTAATATTGCAGCACCCCACGGTTTGATACCTTAAGTCATTCCGACATAAATGACACACAGTCCCATCAGGCAGGCCCTATTGCATATGCTTTGGCATCATTCAATTGATGCTGGTCTATAGAAATGACACAGGCCATTTTTACGCTGCGTCCACCTCCTGAACAATACCTGGTCTTGGTCTATTTACCAGAGAGCACAATTCTGGTTATTGTATTTGGCTTCTCTGGTTTTGAATTCTTGCTTTCCCTTTGACTACACTGTCCTCTGTGTCTCTGACCTTGATTTTTCCAACCATATTGTTGCCCCTTGACCTAGACTGGACCCCTTCTACAGTCCTATCACTTTACTTACTGACCATTCTAAAGACCAGTAATATACTATTTCCTCTATACTTGTTACTAGTCTAGGTTTGCATGTGGGGATCAAAACTAAACCTGCCATGACTTTTTAAAATCTGTTTGGTCAGCTGTGTGGGGTTGATTAGGGAGCAATGGAATATGGCCCCCACTTTACCTACTCATAGTGCATTAAATTGAAGTCAGCATTTTCAGGACAATTAATAATATTGCTACAAATTACTATTATAATCTTTCACCATTTGGATCCTTGCAGATGAGAGATATTGTTATGTTCGAGCCCATCATGTAAACGTGCGAATAGTTACATAATGCCTCCCAAACTATTTTAGATATATGATGTAACAAAACATGTTGAGACTGTAACTGCCTCTGCTGTTTGAGAATCTCACTGGGCCAAACACACTGGAGCTACTGTATAAACACAGGTAGGTTAATAGCAGCTGACAGCATATTTTGTCCGGTGATATGAATGTAGCCGCATGTCCTCCTCTTTGGCCTTTATATGACCTCTCTAATTACCACCACGTCTGCAGAAAAAAAATGTTTTATGTGTAATAATAGATCTTGAAGGTCCTCATTAGTAGCTGGAGCACTTTCGGCTTCACTTTCTGAAGCCGGGTCTGGATTGGGGTCTAAACTTGTCCAGGGAATCCAGAGTGGTGAGAAGTGTAAGCTGAGATTAAGTGTGCACCCCATCATGGGCCTCCTAAAGTAAGATAACATGTTGACAATGTCTCGAGAGCCTCTGTGAACTCTGTATGTTCTTCTGGGGGGGGATCTCTCTTTAGTATATCTTTGTAGGGTTTGGTCTCCCCAGGGTTGTTTGTTCCGAATTTTTCTCGTGATTGTTCCATTCTTCTGTTTTGGCTATGGGCAGTTGAGTTGGTATGAGATCTTTTCGAGAATCTTATATTACCTGTTTTATAATCGTTGGAATCTCTTACATATTCATTTTTTTTATTTCAATGGTTTCTCTTTCTGCTTTCTCAATTTTTGTCTGAATATCTTTTATTATTTGGCTATATGTTTCTGGGTTTGTAGTATCACTTAATTTTTGTTTCCATGTGGTAATCTCCTCATCTAACTATATGAGGTTCTCTTCCCTTCTAGATACGATATAGCCTATCATACTGAATGAAAACTCTTCAAGTAGTTTGTGGCAGCCTCCCATAAAGCATTGGTCTTCTCTCTCAAATGTGGGATCTTTTTCAAATGATTCCTCTCTGAGTAATCTGTTCCCTAACATATTTTTTAAGGGTGGCTACACTTTCTGTTTAGATACATAGCAATTTTTCTGTTTGTTTCAATGCCACAGAAGGCCTTCACCTACTACTAATGTGTCATTTGTTCTAATACCATTGCATTTATTTAATACGCATATGTCTGAGTATATGCATATGCAAACACAAGAGTATAATACCGCAACTTCTGCGGACGAATAGAACTTCCTAGTGGAATGCTCACGTTGTACGACATGCGTTCCAATGACGCAAGTCACGCGACCCAGAAGTGCAGTGCATGACATATGATTTGGAACGCCCGATGCGTTCCAAGTGCAAACAGCCAGATCCGGAAGAGCCAGCAATACCCAGTTTAAAAAGATGCTGATGAGGCTCCCCCATCACATACAGATTGAGGAAGCCCCTACCATAGGGCAAAACGTGTATCGGTCTTACTAGCCAGCAGCTTGTGCCAACATTGGATTTATTTTTACTTTTTTGGACTTTTTACTTTTGTCCAGTCTTTCTACTCTTTTTTGCACACATTTGCGTTTCTTGGACCCAATAAAGCCTTTTTATACCAGAGAAAGATCTCCTATTTCTTCATTACCACAGACCCCTGAAAGGCTACATAAAGACCAGCAGGAAGAGTATGTTAATATTTGGCTCCATGTTTGTGAGTAGTACCTGAAATCTATGATTATCTGTATATTCCTTATATTGGCAATATTGCACTTAACACAACACATGTTATGTTGTTCTTTCTTGTAGAATCATCAGATGTGTGTTCCGCCTATTGTATGTATATATTTTGGATTTTTGTTTAGAGTGGTATAAGGGGTTCCCACTCGGGTAGTTTATAGCAGGTATTGCCAGCACATATATCCATTTATTGTGTATTTCACTTTGCACTAATATATATATATATATATATATATATATATATATACATATTATGTATGTATTTTGCAAAGAATGGCCAATTTTTGTGCCCTTTTGATTTGCCCAATCATTTTTTCAGAATCACTTGCTTAGATTATTATTATTATTATTATTGCCATTTATATAGCACCAACAGATTCCGTAGCGCTTTACAATATTATGAGAGGGGATTTAACTATAAATAGGACAATTACAAATAAATTTACGGGAACAATATGTTGAAGAGGACCCTGCTCAATCGAGCTTACATTCTATAGGAGGTGGGGTGTAAAACACATTAGGACAGGAATTAGCAGTAAAATAAGGTGGGCTACCCTTTAGGGGAGAGCAAGAGACAGGTATGTGAGGTAGAGGTTAGTCTTGGAGGCCATAAGCTTTCCTAAAGAGATGGGTTTTAAGGCACTTCTTAAAAGATGCAACACTAGGGGAGAGTCTGATGGCGGTAGGCAGGCTATTCCATAGGAAGGGAGCCGCCTGCGAGAAGTCCTGCAAGCGTGAGTTGGCTGCACGGGTGCGGACAACGGACAGGAGGTGGCCACGGGCAGAGCGGAGAGACCGTGAAGTGACATACCTATGGATCTGTGAGGAGATATGAGAGGGGCTAGAGTTGTTCAGTGCTTTGTAGGTGTGAATTAGTACCTTGAATTGACTCCTATAGCATACAGGAAGCCAATGTAAGGACTGGCAGAGGGGTGAGGTGTGAGAGAAACGACTAGAGAGGAAAATCAGTCTGGCAGCAGCGTTCATTATGGACTGTAGTGGTGCAGTACGGCTTTTGGGAAGACCAATCAGGAGAGGGTTACAATATTCCATGCGGGAAATTACTAGAGCATGGACAAGCTCCTTGGTAGTATCTGGTGCAAGAAAGGGGCGGAGGCGGCCTATGTTTTTAAGATGGAATCTACAGGATTTGGCAACATGCTGGATGTGAGGCTCAAAGGTGAGGCCAGAATCAAGTATGACGCCAAGACAACGCGCTTGCAAGGATGGACTGATGTGGATACCACTAACTTGAAGGGAGAGCGAAAGAGGAGGATCAGTATTAGGAGGAGGAAAGACAAGGAGCTCAGTTTTAGAGCGATTGAGTTTCAGAAAGAGGGAGGACATCCAGTCAGAGATGGAAGAAAGGCAAGCAGTGACACGTTGCAGGACGGCAGAGGAGTGGTCCGGGGAGGAGAGATATAACTGGGTGTCATCAGCGTACAGGTGGTAGTGGAATCCAAAAGAGGTAATAAGTTTGCCAAGAGAGGCAGTATAAAGCTAAAATAGAAGGGGACCAAGGACAGAGCCTTGGGGGACTCCAACCGAGACAGGACAAGGGGAAGAGGTATCATTAGAAAATGAGACGCTGGTCGAGTTGAACAGCTGCATAGGCAAAATTTGGTTGACAATTTTTCTTTCCCCCCCCAACAGATTGATTCAGTCAAACCATATTTTTTTTCGGGCATGCACAAGTCACTAAATTGAGAATTACTGAAAATTCTAAGTGAATTTAAAATTTAAATCCAAAATAGTCAAACTGACTCAGAGAAGTGTTCCAATCCAGCTATTTTGGACTGACTTTTGACATTAACTTTCAATTCACTTTGCATCAATTCCTAAAAATTGTCACTTTAGAGAACAACCCTGTAAATTAAATGACTTTTAAGCAAATGCAAAACATCTTTGATTACAGGGGTTGACTAACTGCAATGAATCATGACGAAGTGAAAATCAAATTGGAAATTCAGGGTAAATTAGTAAACTGTGATTATAGATGAATCGGAGAATTTAAAATAGGTCAATTATCTTGGCCAACATTTTTCAATTTCAGTTCGCTATAATTTACTGTTTATGGGATAAACCCATAATTTTATTATTCGATTCAATGTGTTAAAATGTGCTGTTTTAACAAAAAGATGATGATGATGATTCTGACACCTTGACTTGTTTTGCCTTTTGTTCCTGTGATGTGTGCATGTTGGGCAGATATATGTTCTCTCCTGTGTCAGTTTCCCAGCTGCTCTGTTACAGAATTTCAGGCAGCTGTCTCCCCAATCACAATAATGGTGTTTGATTTAGTTTGTGGTACAGCATCTATACTGAGCTAAAGTATAGTTTTATGAGCTCTAGTCTCTTCATCAAACTCCTTTACTTTTGTAAACCATGTGTTGTTCTCAAAGGAACACTCCAAACCCCTGAAGCACTTTAGCTTGCTGCAGTGCTTTATGTGTGAAGAGTGTGTCCCCTTTTTTAATTCATTTTACAAAAAGTACAGGTTTCAATAGAACTTGACACTTTTATCAACTAACCTTGTCACACAGCCCGGACTGTCAATCAGACAACCTGACCTGTTACTTCTTGGTTGATTAGCTCAGTGGGGCTAAACTCGAGGCAGCATTTGCCCAGAGCACCTGCCTTGCAAAGACTTCTCATTGAGCTGCACTGGGCTGTCTGTGATTGGACAGCCACAGAAAGTCTGGGCGGAGTTAGAAGGGGAGGTCTTGCAAAGGCAGCAGACAAGAGATTTGTAACTTTTGCGAGCTGTTTTTACATATGCATTTTTTCCTTTGGGGTTATAATTAAATGCATGCATATTTCCATTTAGTGTAAATCTGCTAAATAGTGATAGATATATATATATATCACTATTTGTATCTTGGCAGTAAAATAGAGTAGCTCCATTAAAACACAAACACTTTTCTTTAGAGAGGAATTGTTATACGTTAACAACTAGAAGTTAACAATTGATTGTGAAATTGAAAAACAGAAATATAAATTTCAAATGAGGCTGCCAAGGCACATGCTGTCGTATCCTATGGTATAACTGATGATAATCCCATGATGCCATGCTTACCAGCCCATGAGCACATATGCACATGCACAGCATCATGGGAAGGCACACCTAGGGAATATGTCAAACACAGTACAGAGAAGTGGTGCGTAGCTACACAGCTCACTCATAGAGAATGTATCAAAGACAGTACTTATTTTGTGCTCAGCTGCACTCCTCACCCCAGTAATTACTTTAATAGTGTTTATTCACATGTGGGAAAAGTAAGCTGTCAACAGGGCAAAGGTGACGATTTATCTTTAATACTCGGTTTGTTTCCTAATACTGGGCTAAATCATTTTATTACTGTTAATTTATGTCAATTCTTAAAAGAACTGGCCACCATAACAACTTAATTGAAATTAAGTTGTTATAACACTCTGTCCTTCTGCTGCTCAGAATCTTGGAAGAGGAATCCTTGCCAGGGGTGCCGCTGATTGGAGGAGAGTAACTTCCAATTCACAAAACGGTTTGAGAAAAAAAAACTCCAAGTCTGCTATGCTTCCAATGTAACTAAAATGCAAAAATTAAATTTAGTGAATAATTCTGTCAGTTCAGTAGCAATTAACCCTTTGTCAAAAGTCTATTTATTAACTGAAGTTACAGAACTAGAAGTCACACCACGGTTCTAAGCTTAGTGAATGAATAGATGGAAATACTATACTCATGAAATGCAAAGCCATCTTTTTTAGGCTTAATAAACTAAGTAGACATAAACACTTTTTATGTCTACAACTGATTGGACATGATTTGGAAAGGCACACATCTGTCAATATAAGGTTCCACATGTTTAAATGCATAGGTAAACAAAACCCGAGCCATAAGGTCAAAGCTTAGAGACAGGATTGTGTCAAGGCACTGATATGAGGAAGACTATAAAAAAAACTATTGGCTGCATTGAAGGTTCCTGAGTGTACAGTGGCCTCCATAATTTTTAAATTGATGAAGTTTGGAACAACCATGACTCAGTCCAGCCAAACTAAGCAATCAGAGGAGAATGGCCTCGGCATGAGAGGTGACCAAGAACTGATGATCACCCTGGGTTTGCTCAAAAGATCATGTTTGGAGATGGGAGACACTTGTGGAAGGACAACCATCATTGTACTGCTCCAACGATCTGGACTTTATGGCAGGCTGGCCAGCGGAAGAAATATGATTATCTGGTCATATGAAAACAAAATTGAACTATATGGCCTCAAATCAAAGCATCATGTCTGGAGGAAACCAAACACCACTGATAACCTTCTCAATACCATGCCAATAATGAAGCATTGTGGTAGTTACATCAACCAGTAGGGTGTTTTTCAATTGCAGGGACTGGGGAACTGGTTAGGGTTTTAGGAAAGCTGAATGCAGATATCCTTAATGAAAACCTGTTCCAGATCGCTCATAGCCTCAGACTGGGCTAAAGGAACACTTTTAAACAGGATAATGACCATAAACACACAGCCAATACAATGCAAGAGTGGCTTAGGGACAACTATGTGGATGTCCTTGAGTGGCCCCTCCAGAGCCCAAACTTAAACCCAACTGATCACCTCTGGAGGGACACTAAAGTTGCTGTCCACTGATATTTCCCATCTAACATGACAGAGCTTGAGAGGATCTGCAGAGATGAATGGCAGGAACTACCCAGATTCAGGTGTGCAAAGTTTGTTGCATGATATTTAAAAAGATATGATGCTGCAATCACTGCAAAAGATGCTTCAATTAAGTGTTGAGTTAAGGGTCTGAATACTTATGTCAATATGATATTTCAGTTTTTTTCTGTTTAATATATTTGCAATGGTGTCAAAATATCTGTTTTTCGCTCTGTCATTATTGGGTATTAAATGTAGATTGATGTGAAATAAAAATATGTAAAATTGTAGCATAAGTCTGCAATATAAAAAGAAATGTGAAAAAGGGGTCCGAATACTTTCAGAATGCTCTGTAATACAGTAAATTAGATTCCAGTCTTTTTCTATAATGCATGCACCGAGCAATATGCAGTTTGAATTTTGCCAATTTTCTTCCGGTTAATTAAAACTTTCAAATATCAGAAATTAATCTTTTCTACTTTTAAATAACCATAACCACAGCGCGGCCCCAAGCAAATCCCTGCTGTTCCCAGACACATTGTCTGCATTTTTTATCTGGCTTGTAATGAGCTATAAATAGTTCATATAATCATAAACTCCAATGCTATTTAGAGCTTTGTTATACAAAACAAACAAAAATTAAATAGGTAAAAATATCTTCTAATGACACAAAAAAACTAATACACCAAAAAATGAAATTAAAAAAAATCTAAAAATAATGTGCTCTCCATTTAGAGCAATTTTAAGTGTTGTTAAAGTATCTTTTTCCATTTGCTTATCCAGCATTAAGAGCACCGAGCTATGGGGAGCTTTGACATCTCTGATTATAGTAGAAGTGCTCAAACAGCTCTGTGCTATGAAGTTAGGGGTGTGTCGGTTCTGTGACGGGACGATGATAAACTCAATGGGATCGTCTATTTTTAACCTCCTGCTAGTTTCTTCTGCTAATGTAATGTGCCCCGGCTGAGGTTTTTTTTTTCTCTTCAATGCTTGCAAATACCCTTGGTGATTACATTCAGAAACCATCGATACTGAGGCGGCGTGATTAAAGAGTTGATCTTTTTTCAGTAATTATTATTTTTCATACACTTTGGCCTGTTAGGATCTGTCCGACAGACGTCAAACGATGTCAAACGAAAAGGATTTTGTCGAACAGTTTTCCACTACTACAGTGAGTACAGTAGCTATCCAAGCGGGGGAATCCAGAATAGTTGTAGCAGTACTCAAGGTAAGCTTTGTTAATGGAGTTTAAGTACTTTGCAAACATAAATTGTTATACTATGCATTTTGTTCCGCATTGCTTTAGGTGTGTGTTCACTGGGTCTTGCATCAAATAGTTGTATCAGCTTACTTTAGGAATCTTTACCGAATAACGTTGTTAAATGTTTTTGAACGCAGCTCCTTCTAGGATACAATACAGATCCTGGTTACATTCAAGATCTATAAATCACGGTATATGTACAGCACCTGCATCAGCTGAATGCCTTAACCCTTTAAGATCCAGAACAGTCTGCGATACTGTGCACGGCAATCAAATAGTTAAGTTATGAATCTGTAATAATTCTACCAGTTCTCTATCGGCTTTAAATTGTGGATTTTGTCCCTAGCTGAAGTTTAATCCCTGTACGGCTATCACAGCATGTCATATAATTCATTTTAACCTTTGAGGCTGTCTGCTTGTTTCTCCTGAAATGTTTTGTATAATGGAAAAACTAAATTAAATGAAGATTTTGATTCAATTTCGTTTATTTGTTTGGATTCTATATGACCTTTTTGTAAGCCATGCTGTGTAGTGTTTATTACAATTTCTCCCAAGGACATTGACTCGTAGGTTACCCGTTGGCTTTGAATGCAAAACCCAGGCGTTGGGGATTTATTTGCTTGGTAGGGAACTGTGATGGTATTAGATTTTATTTTGGTAAATTCAAAACAAATTTTCTGAGGTGAAAATATTCTCAAATGTTTCTACATTCCCAAGTAAAGTGAGCAAATTCAGTTTTTACAGGACAACATTTTACTGATTTACAAATCAACGTCCCCCCTAAGGTCAATGTTTTGGAAGTAATATATTCGTACAATTCTATGGGTAGTTTTCCATATTATTTGGGATCATTCGCACTGTTTCTATAACTTTTGTTGGGGGTTTTGAATCACATATCAACTGCATTTTAATTATTATTTCTATAGCTCCAAAATCTATTGCTTTAACAGGGATATACAATATAAGGTAAACAGAAATTAGAAGTCAATAAGGCTCTTCTTAAAATTCTTACAATCTGCATCCAGAGGCATTAAAACGTTGTGAAACAAACCATAATTTGCATATGTTGCAAAAAAAGGACATTAAGGGGGAGATTTAGGAATAAACAGGTGGTGTCCTGTGGCAAAGTGCTAAAAAAAGACCAATCGCCTTAGAAACCAATAGAATGTCTCTAAACAAGTAGCACTTTTGTGCCAAAATAGCACCTGTTAAGTTTTGATAAATCTCCCCCTAAGTGTAGGATTGGAAGCAGAGGTCACCTGCCGCGAGTCTGATGACTGAGGAAGCATGATTGAGGCTCTTGTTTTGAGCTGATTAAGGAAATGCTGTCTCCTTATTAACTGCCTAGTATTATTGAGAATGGTCACAAAATATGTAACAAGTCTATGTAGAGATGCCATTGTAGCAGAAGAATCTCACCACAGTTTTGGGCAAGCACAAATGGACCAAGTCTCCATGGGACCATCTGTATATTGTACAACAACCAGTAAAACAGTCTTTTTTTTTCACTCCCTCAATCGTATTTATGAGGGGACAGCGTGTGCATGTTTATCTGCACGTCCCAGCACACAGACGGTCTGTGCAACTTTGTAATACTGTATATATGTGGGAGAGGGGACTATTAAAAGAACACTCAAATAAAAAACAAAAAACAACACTTTAGTAGGAATTCCCCCAAGGAATAAATGCAGCATTTAATTTGTTTTGAATGTCTTCTTTGCAGTTATATGAAATCTTGGCTACTGCTAGCCCTCTCCTTCTCCATGGCTGTCTAATCACAGACTTCTGAATGAGCTAAATTCTCATTGATAAGTCTTTGCAAGGCAGGTGCTATGTATAAATGTCTGCCTGATCAGTGCAGCTTCACGGAGCTAAGCTGCCAGGAAGTAACAGGACCGGCTGTCTGACAGCCAAGGAAGTGCTTTATAAGTTTAGAGTGTTCCTTTAAGAGAACCCAGAGTGGTATCACATTTTCTCTAAATAATATTCTCCCTTCTCTTTTTCACTTCCACACTAACTTCTCTCATTACTAAAATACCCTTGTCCTTCTGCTCACCTGTCCCTGGCAACACCATCTTCATTACTCCCACTTTACTCCCTTCCCCTCTCTATTCATCCCATGCACTCTACATATACCTTTCCAGCCTATCTCCTCCTACAAAACTTTAAAATCCTTCTCCCATCTTCACTTCCTTTCCATCCTTTTGCTCCTAGCAGCTGGTGATGTCTCTACAAACACCGGTCCCATCTCAGCAAACCCACCACGTGCAAACTCAAGGAACCACACCAATCTCATACCTATCTCATGTTACTCTTCCTCTAAATCCTCCTTCAATACAGTCCTCTGGAATGCATGCTCTGTTTGCAATATTACAAAATCCACTGCTGTCCACGACCTCTTGCTACCCCTGCATCTTTGTCCTTTGGTAGTCTTCAACTTCAACCCACAATCCAAGACACTCTGAATGTAAAGGTGGTAGTGTAGGGTTTCTCCTCTCACCTCACAAGTCCTTAAAACCTCTACCCCCCCTTCCCTTTCTTTCCTATCATTTGAATTAATTTGATGCGCCTCTTCAAACCCTTCTCTGTTAACATTGCTGTTATGTATTGTCCCCCCTGGTGCCCCTCTCCTCTTCCTTGACCACTTTACTGCATGGCTACCCTACTTCCTTTCCTCTAATATTCCATCCCTAATTCTCAGGGACTTCAATTAACCCACTTTTGACCTCAGCAGCCTCTAAACTACTTTCAATTACTTCCTCCCTCGGGCTATCGCAGTGGGCTAATTCTCCCACCCATGTAGCTGGCAATACCCTCAACCTCATTTTCTCTTCTCCATGTACAGTATCTAATATCTGCAACACTCCGTTTTTTTCTCTCTGATCACCACCTCTTATCGTTTGCTCTCGAGTACCCCCTCACTCAAGAACCTTAGCCTAACCCCCTCAACTCGGGAGGAACCTTAATTCTGTTGACCTCCAGCAGCTGTCAGATGATATTGAT